CAGCATGGTCATGACACCGACCTATGCTTTAGACTCCGTCATGAGATTCAGGATTTCATTAACAACAAAGTGATAGCGCCTCCTGAGAAGCCTAACGTCATTACAAATCCTCTCCCACCACATAACCAACCCACTCCTCCACCCAGACAAGTAAACTTTATCCAAACAATGGATGTCCTATACGACCCCAGCATATACATCACTCCCTCCCACCTGCCTAAGCCGGCGCTGTTCATCCCAGAAAGCACGGACTTGTGCATGATGAGCACGTCCATATCCCAACCCGAGCCCATGGTGGTGGCTGTGGTAGAAGAAGGCATGCCCGAAGGCTCCGTGGGCTTAACTAAACAAGAGTACAACCCTTGCTGTTACATTGTGCCAACTAGCCAAGCCAGACTGAGGGTGGGATTACCGAAGGGGATAAAGGTTAATGTAGTCCGGGAGGACGGGCCAAGCCAAGGGCTAGATGATTTAGCTGAGCTTGAAGAGGACATCAGTAATCTGCAATTCTTTGATGAACAGGATCTGGGGAATGTACAGATCGGCTAGTTTGATGTGAATGGATCAACGAATAATATAGGGTGGCTTAGTGATGAGCCGAATGTCGATGAAGGGTCTCAACCAAAGCAAGAACAGTTGGAAACGGGAGCGTCTGCAACGGCCGGAATAGTCGACAACAAAGGGAAATTGCCGGAGAGCACCGGTACTAAGAATTTTGCTCAAGAATTGGGTAGCTTGTGTACAGTTGATACGGAATAGGAGGCCGCGCTGAAGTGGTTCGAGCAGGAAAGAACTGAGACTGATTAGAAGGCTAGAAAAGCCAAAGGCCCTGTAGGGACAGAATGTGTTGTGAACACGGGAACGATTACAGCAGAACCGGACAGTTGTTTGTCGGTTGCCGAAGGAATGTGGTGGGAAGACAATGATTTGCGTCTTGCCCATACTGATCAGGACTGGGGACAGGATCTGCCGGATGATATGTGGTATACCGAATTGCTTTTATTGAAGCTAAACATACAACCCACATTTTAGTTTTCCATTTTAGGTCCTCCATTTTAGTTTTTCAAGTTACCCAATTGCTTTTATTGAAGCTAACATACAACCCACATTTTTTAGTTACACAAATAAATAAACCCAAATAAACCATAAGCTCTGATACCAGTTGTTAGAGAAAATATATGACTTCCCACAAGTAAATCAATCAGTGGAAATGAAAACTAATGCAGAAAAATTAAATCAACAACGATATAAGAATTTTTACATGGTTCCCTCAATGTGAGGTACGTCCACGGGATCGAAATCCAATTCCACTATCAGCCAAAAAGTTTTCAAACGATTACAAACGAAACACGAATGGTCTCACAAACCACCCGCAGGTGAATTCTAAATAATTAGAAATAAACAAGCGGAAAAACCTCACTATATAGATGAACAAAAGTCTTTGAAACAAAGTTGTAAAAGACTCAAAATAATAACCCAAATCAACACCTTCTATGCTGAGCCGAAGTTGTCAACCAAAAACCTCAAACAATGATTCAAATCTTTTGCAGAAGATACAGCAAAGTGAAACCCCAAAAGAAAATGCACAGCCACTACTTTTTAACCGAAAAGAATTAAGCCACCGAATTTTTCTTCAATATTATAGCATAGCGGCCTCTGCACCTCCTACAAGCCAAACAATACTTTTTTGGGCTTTTTATCAAAGTCCTAACTGTTACCAAACAGATTATTAAATATCCATTGGGCCTCCAAAAGTCAGATATAATATATTAAAAATATTTTATAACCAACACCAAATCAAATTAAATATTTTTAATAAACCAATTGGGTTTCATACTCCACTAAGGAGATATACCCAACAAATTGGTGGATTTGCCACCGGGATGTAAACCACTTGGATACAAATGGATCTTCAAAAGGAAAATGAAACCAGATAGATCAATTGACAAATAGAAGGCGAGACTTGTGGTCAAAGGATACAAACAAAAGGAAGGTCTTGATTACTTTGATACATACTCACCAGTTACTAGAATAACATCCATTAGAATGCTTATTGTCAGTGCAACTTTGCACAATCTTGACATCCATCAAATGGATGTGAAAACAACTTTCTCAAATGGTGAAATAAATGAAGAAATTTATATGAAACAATTAGAAGGATATTCTGTTCCAGAAAAAGAAAAGAAAGTATACAAATTAGTTAAATCATTTTATGGTTTAAAACAAGTACAAAAGCAATAGCATGAGAAATTTGACAATACAATAATATCAAATGGATTCAAAATTAATGAATGTGACAAATGTGTTTATATTAAGAACACAGACAAAGGGTAAGTCATAGTATGCCTTTATGCTGATGATATGCTCATCATAAATAGCAATAATGACATAATTAAAGCTATCAAGAAAATTTTGAATAAACATTTTGACGTGAAGGATATGGGAATTGCTGATGTAATACTTGGTATGAAAGTTATCAAAACCTCATAAGGATATGCTTTGTCCTTATCACATTAAATTAAGAAAATACTTAAGAAATTTAGCAAAGATGATGATCATCTTGCTAGGACACCTGTAGATGTTAATCTATCCATTGCTAAGAATGTACAAGAAAATATTTCTCAGTTAGAGTATGCCCAAATTATTGAAAACTTATTGTATTTGATGAACTACACCGACATTGATATAGCATATGTAGTAAGTAAATTAAGTAGATATATATGAGTAACCTAGGGATAAAACACTGGAAAGCAATTATTAAAGTTCTGAAATGCCTCAGGTTTACTCATAACATTGGGTTATACTATACTCAATATCCATCAATACTTGAAGGACACCATGATGCAAGTTAGATATTGGATACTAGAGAATCGAAATCCACTAGTGGATATGTCTTTACACTCGAGGGTGCAGTTGCCTTGGAAATCTTCCAAATAGACATGTATTGCTAGGTCTAGTATGGAATCAGAGTTTATAACTTTAGATAAAGTTGGAGAAGAAACATAATGGCTTCGTCAGTTTCTTGAAGATATTCCAATGTGGCCAAAACCTATGCCGGTTATATGCATACATTGTGATAGTCAATCAGCAATAGGTAGAGCGTACAGTCATACTTATAACAGTGAATCACGACATATTTGTCTTCAACATAATACTGTGAGACAACAACTTTTTAATGGAATCATTTCCATTGAATATGTAAAGTCCAAAGATAACAGAACGGATCCACTATCCAAAGGGTTAGCAAGAAAGTTAGTTGAGAATTCATTAAAGGGAATGGGACTTAAGCCTATTAACTAAGAGTTACCATAATGGCAACCCAACCTAATTGACTGGAGATCCCAAGATCTAGGTTCAAAGGGACCACAGTGTTGTGTGTAATTCATAAGGATCATTATAGGGAGTCAAATTCCTACCCTTTTTCTATGAGGAAGTAGTGATATCTACAGAGTGTTAGGATAAACAATGCTTTTGATGATTCTTATATCTATGAATACGCAATGGAGTATGGCAGGATACTTTTCGTAAGAATCACTTATATGAGTGTGAACTTGACCGGTTTTATGAGAATTGTTAAGGCTGAAATTCTCCAGGGTACTCATGAAGTACGAGGTTATTCAAAGCCAAAATGAACACAATCGTGAGAACCACACTGTGTCTAGAAATATGTTGTGTGAGTTCTATTGTCTTAATTTAAACAAACAGTTGAACAATTCAAGACATCATATTCCCTGACTAGCTAGTAAATTTGATAGTGTCTTACAAAGGAAGGTTCAAAGTCAAAAGCTACCTATCCTACGTAGAATATCTCCAATTTCTATATTCTCTTTAAAATCATCATGTTGTTGCATTTCTTTTTGTCAATTCCATTCATGTGGGCGATTTTTGGAAATTTGGTTTTTATAGGCTAATTTTGGGCTAACTTTGAGCCCAAATTCAAGTGGGACCCACATGTCCTTTAAGGCGGGTCTAAATGGTGATGTGTTCCTTGCCTGCATGGTAAGTCACACCTCGAAGTCGATTCCTCAAAATCATTTATGAGTAAATGAGAAGTTGACGTCATTTTCGACTTTGTGAAGTTCGAAGTTGAAGACACAATATGGGTTGCTCTAATTGTGTTGTTCCACATTGGAACAAGGAGACAGTTTGTGTGTACATATAAACTCTAAGTTGACACACTTGGGTCGGGCCCAAGATGCACCCAAGTTTTGTGGAAGGGAAAGTTATGAACCAGGCATGCTTTGAACTGAACACCACACGCACACATCGTCGTCGTCCAATAAGCGGAGCCGGGCTAGGCGCGGGTGGATGGTGTGGATTGTGGATTGTGTTCTACCTTTAATTTTTTAGATGAAATTCGTTTGAATTTTCCTCAAATTTTTTATGAGAAATTTTAAATTTATGAAGCAATTTGGTTCAAAATTTTGAGGGAAAATTTTCAAATCCAAAATTAAAAATTCAAACCCAATAGGTGTGTCTCCTCTCTCAAGTCACCTTTCTTCATTTCTTGCAATTCAAACTTGCACCTATTCGAAGGGTTTCCTAGCCTTCTGAGCAACCACCACTATGCCTATAAATTCAGACTCCTCTAGCACTTAAATTCATTCAATATCCTTCTCGTTTTTTGTTCTTTCCTACATTATCCTACATCTTAGTTTTAGAGAGATTTAATAGAGTTGTAGAACTCAAGTTCTGATTCACCAGTTAGATTCATTATAGTGCTACTTCAATCTGCGTTTTTAATCATTGTATCCTGAGAGATAAATGTCTTTAACCCATAAGCACATGTGCGGTGGCGAATATGTTTTAAGAATATAATATCACACACTCGACTTGATCATTAAAGTACTAATCTATTTTCGATAAATAAATTTTGTAAGTAAATTTATTTTATTTGTTTGATTTGTTTATGTTTTCATATTGTACACAAAATATATTGTTCCAACAGTTATGACCAATGAAATGATAAACTAAATATGATATATAAATATGGTATAGCATTACGTATTGAAAAAAAAAATAGAAATACACAATTCTTTCACAAAACTAAATAAAGAATGAAATTGCGTTTAGCTTACTATGACAGAAAAAATATCAGTAAAGAGCCATAGCTCCAACCATGGATCATTACATTAGTCAATCAAAGAGCTCCATAGTCCCTTTTGATTGTTGTGTCATGTGTGCTTAAACTTATGGTGAACCTTATATTGGCAAAGTACTGTGAGAATCACCACAACATATATAGAGACATAAAAAGATATATAATTGCAACAATGTTGGAGTTTATAGCACTGTACTATAGGCATAGCTTCTTGTCCTTCCTCTTTGCTTTGTTGTTGATTTCAAGAACTAGATTCATTTGAGCTCTCTGATTTCTCCGTTCTTGTACTAAGGTCAGTAAACACATAATGACTAGCAAAGAAATTGAAGTACATGAAATTGATCACTCCCAATCCAGCAATGAGGAAGTAAAAGTAGTCAAGCTTGTTGGTGTTAAGGTCATGACCACCCAACCATGGTTCCTTCCCGCCCCTCCCGCTTAACTCATGAACAAGATTGACAATTACAGAGTTCAAGTAACTGGCCATTGACAAGCTGAGGAAAAAAACCGACCCTGCAACGCTTCGCATGCTTTCTGGAAACTGGTTGTTGAAGAATTCCATTATGGCAACAGCAGCAAATGCTTCAAGCAAGCCTGACAGGACAAACTGAGGCAATAGCACGGTAATACTAACTGGCGAAATGAAAGAGTGGTGTGCAATAGCAGCTTCGCGGCGCTTTCTTTCCATGAAACCTGCCACGAGCATGCACAGGATCGACATTACAATGCCAATCCTGATCTTATGTTTTGTTGACAATCTAACATCATCTCTTTTGGTGGTTCTCTGTCTGAAAGGGATGTACAAGCACTCGTAAATGAAAATCCACGTTGCTAGGGCAATCATCGATGTCAATCCCAACCACCCGGGTGGGACTTTGAAGTTATGAATCAAAGTATTCGATTGAATTGCTTGGAGGATCCCCAATGTGTTCATTTGGTCCATGGAAACGAAACATGCGATTGCAGTGAACCAAACAGGCACGACGCCCACCAAGCATTTCAATCGCTCGACCTGTTGGATACTACATAGACTCCAATTATCATTGGGGACACCTTCCGGATTCAATTCACTCGGGTCAACAATCAGAGCAGCCTTGTCAAAGCACTTGAACCTATTGGTACGAGCAAGCATAGTAACTACTTGTTGATCCGATTCAATCGGGTTAGGATTGTAGAACTCAGAGTCTGGACTTAATGTTAGCTTGCTTTTTTTACGTGCAGCGCTGATTACTTTGGCAATGTCGACGAACACGCTTCCCTGAGGCTTCATGTAGATGTAGACATGGTGGCCGAGCAAGAAAATGAGGATGGAGAGGGCGAAGCAGCCGGTTGGGATGGCGAAACCGAGAACCCAACTGACATTGGTCTGGATGTAGACAACTCCAGTGAGAGCTACTAAGAGAGCTAGTGTGAATGAGAAGTACCACCAGTTGAAGAAACTCTTGAGTTGGGATCTCCCTTTCTCGGTTTTGGTATCGAATTGGTCGGCTCCGAAGGCGATGTTGCAGGGACGGATTCCGCCTGAACCGATGGCAAGGAGGGCGAGACCAGAGAAGAGGAAGGCGAGCTGCCATGACTGAGACTCAGGGCAATTGGGCTCCCCTTCGCAAGGGGTGGGCCGGAGATCAGGTATGCCTGCAGTTAGAGCTACCATTCCCATACCCTGTAATTTTGACACCAACTTGGTTAACGATTTTATGGAAAAATAGGCACTCACAAAATGAAGTGCAAGGTATAAATTTAAATTTAGACAGCATAAGTTGCATTTAGAACGAATCTAATTATCACATTTCGATTGTTTGCCAAAATTTTACGTATTTTTCTGAGTGCGCGTGCATTGTTGATGATTTTAACTATAAATTTGGGGTTTGAAACCATCAATTCTTGTCATTGAGATACATTTATCAAAAGGGCATGGCTTCTGTCTGGTTCTTAATCGGACTGGACTGTGCTGTTGGGTCCGTGGAGGTCCACCATGGGTCATGTTTTGATAATCTGAACCGTTCAATGTGTAAAACTCGTCGAATACTATAAATCTGTAAAAAATCACATTAATCGGATATCGATAGCTATGTGATCAAATCAGTTTTGTATAAAAAAAAATGGACAATAAATAAATTAACGGTTGACAAAAATCTATTTTGATTACATAACTATCGATATCCGATCAACGTGATTTTTTACAGGCTTATAGTACTCGACGAGTTCTACACATTGAACAGTTTAGATTATCAAAACGGGACCCGTGATGGGCCTTCGCGGGCCCAACAGTACGGTCCAGTCCGATTAAAGACTGGACAGAAGCCATTCCCTTATCAAAAGGATATCGCTTATGTCCAGCCCTTGACCAGACCGAAAGAAACTATAAATGAACGCCGCCAACCAACAGGTTGACACGTTTGGTCAAAATGTCTGTACTTTATTAAAGGAGGGTGGATTCTTTTCAGTGGATTAGAAGTTGTTTGGACCCGCGGAGCCTAACAGAGTTTTATTTAGTGATTTGAACTCTTCACTTTATTGGGCATTTCTTATATTTTATTTTTTTTTTTAAATATTACATCAATTTAATAATTTTAGCTTATTTAATTTATCACATTTCTCAACAAAAAATCAAATAGTCTATTTTTAAAAAAAAAAATAATTGTCCTTTATTTAAAAAAAAAAAAAATTATCGTATATTTTTTTAATGATAAACACAATATTGAATAGTTATGATTATTGGATCGGCGTAATTTTATTTTATAAATGAAATAAACGAAATTTTAAAAAAAATAAATAATTTAGATCATCGAAAAAAGACGTATCATAGACCTCACAAGTCCAAATAACACCCTCCAACCCGCATTATGAATAAGAGGGAATCCATTTCTATATTAAAAGGTTAATCATTTATTGAATCTCATTGTGAATAAAAACCTAAACGAATGCCACTATATATTGGGAAATGTAATGATTTAGCAAACTTATTTTTTAATATAGTCATTCATAACTATCACTTAAATTTCACTTTCATCTTTTACTTTTTCATTGTCACAATTAAATCACTAAACTTTAATCAGAGTTTTTTGAATTTCATTTTGATCATTTACCTTTTAATTGTAACAATTAAGGCATTAGACAATAACCCAAGTTCTAATATAGTCCCTCTGTCATCATCATCCTATCGTTTAAAATTTAGATTTAAAAGTTAAAATTTCAAAGATTAAAGTGAAAATTTGTGTGAAAGTTAGATGGTGAAAAATATATAATTTTTCATTTAATGCCCTAAAGGCTAATGTGGCAATTGAGTACATTCAATTCATATTTTTAACAGTCACTTGTTGAAGAACTATATTAAAACAATGATTAAAGTTTAAAATTTTAATTATTACAATTAGATGATGAAAGACTGGGGATTGTTTGGGGTATCTTAAATAAGTGCATTTTTTGTTTTTTTGGACTAAAAATTTGAGGAAAAAAATATGGATGTTTGGGTTAACTTTCTGACTTTTTATGAAAAAATGTGTTAATTGTATAAATTAGTGTATAGGAGAAGATTGTGATGGACGTGATGGAATAGTTGTATGGTGAGGGACAGTGTATGCAGAGTAGGGGGGAGATGATTCCCTACTTTTCGGGCAGTGAATTGAAGGTGTTGTTCGGCCCATGAGGACCTACCATAGGTCCCGTTTTGCTAATCAAAACTGTTCGATATGTAGAACTCGTCGAGTACTATATGCTTGTAAAAAATCACGTTGATCGGATATCAATGGCTATCTGAACGGATTAGTTTTTTTTTTCAACCGTTAACTATAACACCATCTATTTTATAAATTTTAACTGATTTGATCATATAGTTACTAATATCCGATCAACGTGATTTTTGATATATACATAATACTTGACGAGTTCTACACATTGACGGTTCAGATTATTAAAACGGGACCCGTGATGGCTCCAACGGACTGAACAACACCGTGTTATGTGTACACCTAAAAAAGTGCAATTTTTCCCACAACAATGCTCCGCCTGCTCTGCCTTTGTGATTGTTTGAAAAGGAAAATTGTGTAAAATTAATTTTTTAATATTTTTTTGAGTGAATAGTGATAACTTTTTAATTTTTTGAATAACTTTTTGCCTTTTTGATCTTTTCTGGAGTATCCAAACTAGGCCTAAATGAAAACTCGACTGAAAGATAAAGGGTGAAAGGTATAATTTATCCATTTTAAACTTATTAACATTATTCTAGATGCAATAATACTACAGCGACAACATTTATTTACATGTATCCCATTTAGTAAGGCAATACATAAGTGACGAAACTAATTTAAATTAGGGTCCAGCTTGTCTTCGATTGGAAATCAAGATTAGACCGTTCAATCCGGTCTATGGACTCACTTTTGAGTCCTATTTCGATAATCTGAATCATCATATTTTAGAATTCGTCAAGTACATTATTTCTGTAAAACATCAAGTCGATCGGATAACGGCAATTACGTGTTCAAATCAGTTTTATATAAAAGAAATGGATGGTGAAAAAATAAACAATTCATAAAAAACTAATTCGAACACGTAGTTGTTGTTATCCGATCAACTTGATTTTTTACAGGTATAATGTATTCAATGAATCTTAAAATGTGAACAGTTCGGATTATCGAAATGGGACTAAGGTTCTAAATCGCGGTATCGGGTAACGAACGGTATCGATCGTGGAGTATCAGTATCGGTAGTATCGATCGGTACGTATTGGAAATCGGGTGTCGTGACGGTGAAATTTTAAAAATCATTTTACAGGTTTTTCAGCTTTTTAACTTTTTGCCTTTTTGGCCTTTTCTGGAGTACCCAAACTAGGCCTAAATGAAAACTCGACTGAAAGATAAAGGGTGAAAGGTATAATTTATCCATTTTAAACTTATTAACATTATTCTAGATGCAATAATACTACAGCGACAACATTTATTTACATGTAAGCATCTCCAACGGTAATAGGCATTTTACCTATCTAAATATTACTATAAAGTAGATATTTTATTTTGCCTATCAACTATTTCATATTTCTACTCCACCCAAGCTCTTTATTTTAGCTATTCATCTAAATACTATTAATTTTATAAAATGACACATCAACAACAAAGATGGAGGGAAATGATCCTAATGATTAAATATATTTTGCCTAGTCTTGAATGCTAGCTACATGTAGCTAGTGAATGTGAGTTGAGCTAAAATGCCTAATCATATGCCTAGTGCATTGGAGTTGAAAAAAATAAGCTATACTAGGCATTTTGACTAACAAGCATGATATGCCTAGTGGGTTAAGGCAATACATAAGTGACGAAACTAATTTAAATTAGGGTCCAGCTTCTCTTCGATTGGAAATCAAGATTAGACCGTTCAATCCGGTCTATGGACTCACTTTTGAGTCCTATTTCGATAATCTGAATCATTCATATTTTAGAATTCGTCAAGTATATTATTTCTGTAAAACATCAAGTCGATCGGATAACGGCAATTACGTGTTCAAATCAGTTTTATATAAAAGAAATGGATGGTGAAAAAATAAACAATTCATAAAAAACTAATTCGAACACGTAGTTGTTGTTATCCGATCAACTTGATTTTTTACAGGTATAATGTATTCAATGAATCTTAAAATATGAACAGTTCGGATTATCGAAACGGGACTAAGGTTCTAAATCGCGGTATCGGGTAACGAACGGTATCGATCGTGGAGTATCAGTATCGGTAGTATCGATCGGTACGTATTGGAAATCGGGTGTCGTGACGGTGAAATTTTAAAAATCATTTTACAGGTTTTTCAGCTTTTTCTTTCCCGTACCGGTCCGAACCGGTGGGTATTCGCCCGTCGCAGCTTGTGTAACGGTTACAGACCGATACGCACTGGGACTTGGCCGATACTCCTGCGATTTTCAATCTCAGCGGTATACCGGCCTATATTCGTCGCAGTATCCCATTTTTTCCATACGTAACGTATCAGCCGGTATTTAGAATTATGAGCGGGACCCAAATGTGGGCCCACGAACCAAACTGGATGATCCAATATTAATCTCCAACTGAAGACAACCTAAACCCTATTATTTATACAATTATGCCAAATGATATGATAATCAAACAGGTAATTCTACTATGAATGACCCTCAAGAGGGCATACAATATGCAACTTATAACACTTTGACTAAATTAGTTTCAATCCTAATTAAAAGGGCTATAATAGATTATAACCAAATATCACTTAATCAAGTCATAATAATCAATATCATAATGAGTCATAACTAAGGATTATGACCAAACATTATTTGAGTCAAAATTAAAATAAGGATATATCTAAGTCATAACCAACACCATAATATATTGTAAGTGGGATATATGGAATATACTTTTTTTTTTAGGTTTTAAAGACGAAAATCAATTTTTAAGGACAAAATATTTTAGTTGCAAAAAGAATTATTGTTGTATTTTTAGTAATGAAATTGAACATTTACTGATCAATTATTATTCTTTTAAGACAAAACTTTTTTGTCTAAAAAAAAAAACATTTTTTGGGACTAAATTATTTTGTTCATAAAGTGCATTTACTAACAATATTTTCAAAATTTTGTTGACATGAATTTGTTCCCAAATATTTTTTTGAACAATGTTTTCATTTTCAGGGACAAAAAAATTTAGTCCTTAAAACTAATATATGTTGTAATGTATATTATAGAATTTTTCCAAAAGGAAAAATATATGAATATGATAATTTTAACATCACTGTTGTGGATGTGATTTCTGTTCCCAATTGTCTGCATGCCATTTTCCTTTTGGGGAAGTGGTTACTTTAATAATTCATCAGATCATAACAATAACTCACCAAAACTAAAAATAAATTCAAAATCATGAATAGTAATCTAAACAAACATTTCATGATGAAACCCTAATGAAAGAGAGATTTGGATAGGGTGAATGTGAGATGTGATCAACATACCAGAAAAGAGGAGATAGATCCAAAGAGGAGGGTAAGGAAGCGACCCAGATAAGCATCTGAGAGGAATGCACCAGCCAATGTGGTTATATTAGATGATCCTGACCATATACTCACCACATTCACTAATTCTATTCCTTCCATATTATATTTTGTTCTCAAATATACCGTTATATTTGCTATCAAACTCATCGATGCCAACTTTTCAAACGATTCATTGCCTACAATAAATCAAATGTACCCATGTTAAAAATTTGTAGAAATTAATGATGATATGAAAAAAAACCATGGATTGATTGATTTGTTTATTTGTGTTTACCTAGAATAAATGCAATGGCATTCCATCCCCCTGGTTTTCGAGGAGAATTAGGAACAAGAGCTGGGTCGCTGTCTCTACTTGGAGGAGAATCTCTTTGATCCTCCATCTCTCACTGATTAACTCTTCCCTTTACCTTCTCCCTCTTGTTTTACCCTTCTCAATTTCTAAATTGTTTTGTTCTAAACTTTATATTCCATATCAGAGAGAGAGAGAGAACCTGTTTACCTAGAATAGTAAATCAAATATGTTAAACACTTGTATTTTACAGCATTCTCAATTGCACGATATGATGAGAATCTTCGTACGATAAAAATCTTCAAAAATGAAAATTTAAAGTCACGGTCGTGTGGCTAACAATATATTAGGGAAATGATTTTCCTGATAAATCTCGTGACATAAAAATAAAATTAAAAAATAACATTGTTGGTCTGCATTATTTTGTTAATTTGATTATTAACTTTTTCAATTTGTATTTAAATGATATCAGTGTTGTTTTCATCAAAATTTTCGTCCAAATTTTATTAAAAATACTAAAGTTCTCATTATAAAATTTAAACCAAAATAGTGTTGGGATCATTTAAATATACTTTTAATAATTTAGAGTAAATTGGTAATAAATCCAAGCTAACGAGAGTATAAGTTATGGATTTTTTTGCCAATGGGTCACAATAATTGAATCTATTACTCATTAGGTCCTAATTTCTATCTCATGCACCAAGAAGTCTTGTTATATTTTTTATCTCGATTTTGCCCCTGTTGTTGTACTGTAGAGCCATTGATGAATTAGTGGTGTTGATGAACATGATAACTGCTAGAGCCATTAATGAATTCGTTGGTGTTGGTTAACATGAGAACTGCATCTGTGGCCCTTGGATTTGAGAGAGATGGTGTTAGATCTGAGTAGAGATTAAGAAAATCGACATGAATGGAGTTGGGGTGTGTCGACATTGACAAGTTCCAAAGCCGTTGATGAATTCGTTGGTGTTGGTGAGCACGAGAACTGTCTTTGTGGCCCTTGGATTTGAGAGAGATAATGTTACATCTAAGAGAGATTAAGAAAATCGATATGAATAGAGATGGGTGTGTCGACAATGATGAGTTCGAAGCTTCGTATTGTTTAAACCAATGATAAATTTGTTTAAAGTAGTGTTAAATTTATCATTGATGAATTTGTTAAAAAATTTACAAATAGCAGACTTAATTTGAGAGAGGGGAATGGGGCATCACAACAAATTTATCACTGAATTAAGTAACAAATTAACAAATTTATCATTCTTAAATTAAGTAACAAATTTATCACTGAATTAAGTAACAAATTTATCAGATCAGTTATATGTCTATAGAAGATCAACAACACCTTTCAATGCACTGATTGGACACTTTGCATCCCAAACCGATGATAGAGGAAGATGATGGCAATGACGATGTCGAAGATGTTAGATTGGTGATAAAGGAAGATAGTAGCAACGATAATGTTGAAGATGGTAGATTGAGGATGAAGGATTACGATGTTGAAGCTAGCAAATGAATGATAAAGAAGGAGCAATGGTGATAGCAACGAAGGAAAAGGAGACGATGGTCGGTGATTGAGGAAGATTAGGAAATGGTGTGCCCGTGACAAAAATGAGAGAGAGAAAGAGAGAGAGAGAGAGAGAGAAAGAGAGAGAGAGAGAGAGAGAGAGAGAGAGATGTATTTGTGTTTAGGGTAAAATCATTCAACTGAATATAAGGTGTAAAAATGGAAGATTAGTTGAATTATTTTGGGTCAGGACTTCCTAGGAATTAAGTTCAGTCCAAAGGACAGGCCCGTAACTCCCTCATAAGTTATTAGGTTCAGTAAATATATATATATATTTAAGGCGGAAGCAGCACATACATGAAGGAGATGGATTACGAAATCAAAATGCACAATTGGAATAAACCATTCAAACATTTAAACCATTGAATAATACATTTAATTAAAATACATTTAATAATTAAAATACATTTAATACAAACATTTAATTTTCATACAGAAAATAACTTACAATTGTTGTAGCAACTGCAAGGATCTTGATTAGGGGGAAAACAGAAAGCTTAAAGGGCGCTCAGAACACTCTGGTTTTTCTTACAACAATGAAGGAGAAGAAAATTGAAGAATGCCTGAGAGCTTACAATTGATTACAATAAATAGGAAAATAAAAGCAAAACAGTACGCATGTGACTTCTGAAAGCAGCTGGCCGAGCATGTGAAAAGCATATGCTGTCGGTTGCTTTCGGCTGATTGATTCAATAGTTGAACAGCTTTAAACAAAAGTTGATTGGGTGAATAGTGATGGTGAACAGTAAAAGTGAATAGTAACTTTTACTATTCATCACTTTCGGTGGAACATGTGAATTATGGAATCAATATAAATACAAATTGGCAGCTTTTCTCAAAAGAGTATTGATTGAAGCCAAATTTTGTATTTATACAGAATCCAATGTTGATTAGACAAATGGGTCTTGAGCATCTTGGAACTCTGGACCCAAATACTGATTAGTTGATTCTTCAGACGAGTGAATAGATTCTGAACCTTCTGAACCTTCATCTGAACTGGTGGATTGGGTTTTGGCTTGGGCCAAAAGTTGCTGGGCCAATTGGATCATGTCGGCTTTGGATGATTGGGCTTTACTTTTGGATTTACCTTTGGGCTGAACAGGAGGTGGAATGGGCTTTGCCTTGACTTTGGACTGTGCTTTGGGCTTGGATTGGGCTGGTTGAGCAGCAACAGCTTTGGACTTTGATTTTGTTGATTTGGGCTTGGAGCCACTAGATGAGGGGCTGCCAAGGTTGACTGGAGGAAGACTGGGCTGGCTTCCTTGAGTGAGTGCAGCAGTTGGGTTCTGCTGGGCTTGAGCAAGAGCAGGAGTTGGAGCATATTGAGCAGGTGGAAATTCTGCTGGAACAATTTCAAGAATTCTGGGAACATTGAATTTATCCCACCATTTAACTGTGTGTTGGCGGATGATAATATTGTCATCAATCCCATAATGCCATTTGAATATCCATGGAATCTTGTATTTGGCAATGAATATGAGTAATAAGGGAAATTGTTTCTGGTGAGCAGAAAATGGGTAAACAGAGTTGAAATAGTGAATTATATTTTTGAGATCATCAGGAAGGATTGCTGAAATGGCACCATAGTGAGACCACCATCTCAGAAACCAAGTTGGTAACTCAGATTTGAATTTTTGATCGAATGAGATGAACCAGGAATGACTAAAAGTTTCATTTTGGTACAAGAAAATCTTGAACCAAGCATCCACGTAATCATGATAATTGTATGGAATAGAATGACCAGGTAGATCACGAAGCTGGTTAGGATTGCCCCATTCAGCCATGGAAACAATGTTGTGAATATAAAGTGAATGGTATAGGACCTTATAGGCATAGGTGCGGTCCTGAATGGGTTTGATTAGGATGGAATGATGGTTAATTAAAATATCCTTGTAATAGGCTAGGGTTTTCTCTGGATGGGAAAGGGTGAAATGGCATCCAGAGCCAAAATGGAATTTAGCAATGTCATTGATGGTTTGAGTCCTGGGGTGACTGGGTTCTTTATAGAACATTATTAGCCTAGAATTACTATGTTTATTATGTTCAGTAAATATATATATATATATATATTGTCAGAGCCTACCAAATAGTTTGGTAAGAAGTCCTTTTGTATGTTTTGAACAACATTTGTTTTGAATTCTACCTATTAATTTATCTGTTGGCTTTTTTTGACTATCTGTTCAAATTCATATCTATCTGTTCAAATTATTTTCTATCTATTCAAAAAAAAATTTGACTACCTATTCAAATTTATATATATATATATATATATGTTGAATTTTTTCCTTATCTGTTCAATTTTCTCCCTATCTGTTCAAATTCTGTGGATTTCTCTCTCTATTTGTTCAAATTATGCCGGTTTTTCTCTCTAATTTTTCCTATCTGTTGAAATTCTTGTGTTAATTTTTCTTATCTGTTGAAATTATTGTGCTAATTTTTCTTATATGTAGAAATCTATTTTTATCTATTCATTTTTTTGAATGAAAACCTAACCATTGTCACACCAAACAACTGAATTACAATTAATTCCTTATCTGTGTAAAATATTTTTTTTGGAATAAATCTATACTTGTTTTGCTCTTACCAAACTAAAGAAGCAATATGTGTTCTTATCTATTCAAACAAAAATGGATTGCAATCCAAACACATATCCGAATCCAACATGAACATGATGGTAAAGGAAAAAATATATACGTTCTTATGTGTTCAACCTGAGCATTATGTGTTCAAACAAAACACAAAAGAAACCCGTATTTTTTTAAACAAACACAAAGACAGATCAACTGTAGGCCATCATCAATCTCAAAACATAAACAAAACACAAATCGAACACACCCACCAACCAAATCTAACAGATCTGAGTTCAAATATAAAAAATAAATTATAACAAATAAAAAAAACCTCGAAGAACAACAAATCTAATGTAGATCTGAGTTCAAATCTAAAAAATATATATCTAAAACATAGAGATAGAGGAACAAAAAGATGGAGATAAAGAAAAGAGATAAGGGGGAAGTGAAAGTCCCCGTAAAGTCCCTCCAATTCAGGTGCGTATGCAATCCCTAGCATAGCCTCTTCATCAACCCAAGGTTCATCTTCTTACACCATCATCGCATCAAAAACCACCATCGCACCGGTGAAGCGATCAACTTAGTAGCGGTGAAACAATCGGCGACGGAGGCAGAGGCAATAGAGGTAATGGAAGCGATCGATTGCTTCAACGGGATAGATGAAGAGAGAGAGAGAGAGAGAGAGAGAGGGGGACTATCGTCTGTCTAGGTCCGTGTAAATGAGTAATATAAATATATAAGGATAGTTTAGCCATTGTGCAAAAGTATGTCCTTATGAACATAATAATTTCGTACTAAAATTTTTAAATGAAAGAAATTTAAATTTGAACTTTTGAACCAAGCGCCTTATAATTTAATAACTAAATCGATATAATTAAAATATGGGATATTAAAATAAAATAAATTGCATACTTTTTAAACACTATGTTAGTCATTGAGGGATGTGAGGGAAGTGTACGTGGTACTTTGCATATGTTTTTTATAGCCATTATTGATGTGGTGGCTCCGAAAGCTAAAGTATGTCCTTATGAACATAATAATTTCGTATTAGAATTTTTAAATGAAAGAAATTTAAATTTGAACTTTTGAATCAA